TTTACAAGTATTGTTGCTCCATGAAACTAAGATCTTACCTGTGGTTCTAAAGCCACTATGTGATAAAGACGGAAATAAAACCAGGTTGGCCTGTCTCTGGCACCTGCGCCATTTCTATTATATACCAAGATACCTCCTCTACTGTGTCTCCAGCTTCCTGGTCCAAGCTGTCTACTGTCAGGTTTAAGGGTCCTTCTAATCTGTTTCTGCAACAATGGGATCTAAGAAAAGATTTGATATTGACAGTGTGGCCTTTTGGAAAGGATGTTTGGCTTGCAGTCCAAAAACCTCGCTAAATCAGACCTTGGTGACGTAAGTTCATGTCTTTATGATTTCGAGCAAATCTTTCACTGTAAGAATTATTTTGGTGCCTCAGTTTCCTAAGCTGCAAAATATATGGAAATTGGGTTTAAGCTGTCAAGTACAACACGAGTGTAGGGTATTAGGGCCTTAATGTGAATTTAAGTCATTGTGTTGGCTTTTATTGAAGTTTTTTACTTAATCAGAAATTTTACTTTTGGGAAATTTTAAGTATAGTCATTCTATTTAAAGTTACTAAGCTTTAGTTGTAGAGTTTCTAGAGGATTATAGGTGTATAACCAGGAGAAAGTTCAAATGATTCAGAAGAAAATATGTTATCTGTTGGAAAAAGAATTTTTAAAGGGAAGAAACAAAAGGGATATATTTTTCTGGTAGGACAGAAAAACTATTTTCTGTATATATAAAATAACAAGATAAAGAATTTTTTTTCTTTTGGGACAAAGATCATTGCTGATATGAAACAAAGTGTCAAAATGTTTTGATATGCAGCTTTGATATTAAAAAGCTCTAATCCATTATCTCTATTTTCATATATAGCCTTGTATTTAGTGAATTTCACAAAGGAGAGGTGTTCAGCCTCAGATTCTTTTTTTGGAGAGGTTTGGGCTATAGGGTGCGTGCACTCACCAGCCAGACAGAGAGAAACAGAGAGATAGAAAGCGAGAAATCACCCCCCAGGGAGGATGGCCACGCCTCAATCCCTTCTCCTCCATTCTCCTCGGGATCTTAGGCACGCACGCACACGTTCCCAGCGTGAGTTTTAAGCCACCAGGTCTGGGACGCAAACTGCGGTCGACTACATGGGAGTCCAGCGACATAGCCATTACGCTAACTGCTGGTCCCCAGCCTCAGATTCTTCATCTGAATTACAGCCTAACTTCCGTCAATTGACTTGTTTTTATTTTTTCAGATAGGTTATGCTGAAAGAGATAATATAATATTATGACAAGAGAATATATAATATTATTACAAATAAAGGAAGACTATAATGTGCCACGAGCTTTGGGAATGAAATTTGCTGAGAGAGTATCTGTGAGCCTTCTATACTACTGTGTTTATTTCAGCCACTAGCATTGCCCTTGAGACAGCTGAAGGGAAGTTCAAGTACTTAAAAAAATAAATATACAAATAAGAGAAAGCAAAAACAAATCTAACGAATATCGCAACTGTCAGGAAATGAAATACTAGCCTGAATGTAACAAGCACAAGCCAAAGAATGTAAAATTAGATTAAGGCTTTGTCTACCTTTATCCCTGCCTTATGGCTGTGCCTCTGGGTGTTAGACACAATTTGCAATTTGTACCTTTGTGACTAGCCCAAAGCTTAGAAACTTAAAATGATTCAAGCTAGAGGACTCACAAGACCCTGATCTTTGCACTGTTTCTAGAAATGTGACTGTTCAGGGGCAGAGTACCAGAGCTAGTTGTCTGTCTTGCAGGTATGACTTAGCCAAGAGGAAATTGAGTAGAGCCATCCAAGAGAAATGTACTAACAGACTTTTTTTCCCTTTGTTTCCTAATGAGCTTCTAAAAAGGAATATGAACTTTGGAGTTTTTTGCTAGTCGAACATGCACTAAAATTCCTTACTCTACAGTGTCAAGAGTAATGAGAATATATATGCTTTTTTTCCTACCAGATCATTTAAAAGTGTTCTTTGTTATACCTTCATACGGCAGAAGGTTGTTTTTGTCCCAGTGGTGGGTGGTAAATAAATAGAATTGAACAACTTCAGAATGGAACTAGAGGTAAAGCTAGTCAGAGTCCTTAAATCCTGGATCAGAACCAAGCAGTGCTAGGCAAGAAGCCTCAATTCCCAGCAGCTTCACGATCCAAAACATCTGTTTCTGTACTTGGCACAATTCCACTTTTTTATTTGTAAAATTGTTCCCATCTTTGAAAACACTTTAAAAAATAAAGAAGTCCCCATTCTGTCTCCTCTTTCCACTCTCCAGCACATGCATTTGTAATTACCTGGTTTAGTCTGTGTGTTTAATCAGTTTAAATTGAGAATGTTGCATACATCTGATTTTAATCTGAAGGAGCCATTGAGTATTGGGCAGTTACCACCCTTGTATCTGCCAAAATGTGCCTCTGCCAAAAAATGGATAGGACTCACACCAGGGTATTTCCTAAAGAAGCCACTTGACTCAGATTAGATGTTTAATTTCCTTAAAATATTGTTTTGGATTTGGGTCTCTGTTCTCTAATTGGGATTTGCTGATGTAATTTAGGAATATCGCTTATTTGCTGAGTTTGTTCCAGGATCCAGCTGGCATTATTCTAAAAGCCTGAACCTCAAGGCAGTAGAGATTGCCCTGAGCACTGTCATACCTCAGTGCTCTGAAGGGTGGGCCAGGCCGATGTTTGTTCACATCTTTGTGGAACTGTTACGAAGGCCATGCAGTTGAATTCATTTTGTCAGAGAAGGCCTTCTGGCTATGATCAGAGGTTCAGATCTTTTGAAATATTTTCTGATATTAATTGAGGTAGGAAAAGGAAAAATTGTTCCGGTACATATTTACTCATTTTCATTTGATTTGTACTTAGGGCATTGATGTATCAACCAAGTTTCTAGATTTCCTCTGCTTAAAACATCTCCCATTGACCAGAGTTGAGATTTGTTTTGTTTGTTTGTTTTTGGTGGTGCTTGTTGTCATTCCTTGGACCATAATTCTGAATCTCAAAGGAATAAGAACATAGAGCTGGGCTATTTCTCAAAGTCTTAAACCAGAGTTCTTATGGTGCTTTTCCTCAAGGATACCTTTATTTGTTAGCAAAGTTAGGGTGGCTGCTAAAAATGCCCTCGCATGTTTTGCATAGTGGCAAAGCCTTACATGTCAGGGGGATGGGCAGATGTTCCACAGGGGTATTTGCAGCAAGCTCATGAGCCCTCATCTAACATGAAAAACCAAAAAAAAAAAAAAAAAAAAAACAAAAAAAACAAACAAACAAAAAAAACAGAACAAATGTGAAGAACACTGTGGGGAGAACAGTATCTGTCATGACTTAAAATGTTTAATTGGGACGTAATCACAAACCATCAACCAGTTGGAGTTACAAGGTTGTAGCCAGAAGTTTGTTTCTCAAAACATAATTATTAACTAGTTAAGATAAAGAATAAAAAGTTAAGATCACTTTTACAGCATTTCACGCTGGAGTTGGTCTTGCAAAAGGAGCTAGAAATATTTAAATGAACATTTAAAATCAGGTTCTGAGGTCTGTGCTCATCCCTGGAAGGGTGCCCCCATCTCCCTCACTCTGGAGGCATTGCCATAGTTTCTCCTAGTCCCTCCTGCCTTCCCTAGGTTCTATCCCACACAGATACCCTCTGTCTGCAAGACCTCTGGTCTCTGATGCATGATGTGTTGTTTTGTTTTATTGTATTTCACTTTATTTAGTTTTAGGATTTTGCCATAGAGCACCTGTACTTGCCAGACAGAGACAACAGAGAGACAGTGATAGGGAAAGTGAGAGATCATCCCCCTCAATGGGGGGCAGGGGGTGGCCATGCCACAATTCCTTCTCTTCGTGGGAGTTTGGGTATGTACACACACATACCTGGTATGATTTTCAAGTCACCAGGTCCGGGACTTGAACCATGGTCACCCATGTGGTAGTCCAGCACTTTAACCATCATGTCACCTGCTGGCTCCTATAATGTATTTATCTTAAAGTTTAAATTTCAGAGATAATCTCATTTCTGCTTTTCTTACATATTGCAAAACACTGTGTGAGATGCAGTGGACTTGCTAGGAATGAGTTTGGTTTGCACTTATAGAAGAGCCCCAGTTTCCTTTCCTTTTCTGGTTTCTTAGAGTTGCTGAGGCCAAAAAAGCTATCAGCCAGACATCCTTGCATGAAAATAAGATGATTATTTACCTGTTTTAATGTTTCTTATTTTTCAAAGCCAAATTAGGCATAGTCTGAGTCATTCATTCACAAGTATTTGTTATATTTATAGAGAACCTATTGTGTACTAAGCACTCTTCTGGGTGCTTAGGACACGTGAAGAAAAATAAAAAAGTATTTTGTCCTTCAAGGAGCCAAGGTAAAGCAGCTTGCTTTAAGACTGTCCTAGTGGATGATCGTAAGGTACACTGAACAAGTACAGTGAGAAGTGAACTCACAGGGGGGTTAAAGTGCCTTGTCTCACCCTGTCTAGTTTGTAATGGAGCAAGAAATAGAATGCTTTATCTACACCATTACATTTCTTTCAATCCAGTATGGAGTTCTGGTAGTTCCTTTGTGATTCCTGTTAGTATGTGAAGGGAAAAAGTCTCTGCCCTTGAGTAATATATTTGTGCTTGACTACTGTGGTTATTTGTACTAGAATAAAAAGACTTTGGATGTAGCAATTGCTGGTTAGTACAGGTAAAAATGGCATTTAGACAGTAAGAGAGCCAAACCAAAAATAAAAGTTTTTAATAGTAACCCGAAAGGGTCTTCAACCACTTTGTAAGATACCATATTAGTCATTCACAGAAAAGCCTGGACAGTCATTACCCTAAAATCTGCATCTGCTGTGTGTTCAGTGTATGTTTTCACACACTTATACCTGGATTTTTCATTCTGACTATAGTTTTTGAAAATGTGGTACAGTGCCACCTGCATGTGGATGAGACTTTTACCTCGACAAGGTATTAATTTGGGATCTCACTTTCTTCTACCATCTCCTTTAGAGTTGCTGGAATTGTGGCCGCAAAGCCAGTGAAACCTGCAGTGGTTGTAACACAGCCCGATACTGTGGCTCATTTTGCCAGCACAAAGACTGGGAGAAGCACCACCACATCTGTGGACAGACCCTGCAGGCTCAGCAGCAGGGAGACACGCCCGCAGTCAGCTCCTCGGTCACGCCCAACAGCGGGGCTGGGAGCCCAATGGACACACCACCAGCAGCCACTCCGAGGTCGACCACCCCGGGGACCCCTTCCACCATAGAGACAACCCCTCGCTAGACTGAACTCAGAACTGTCGGAGGAAAGACAACACAACCAACACGAAACCAGTTCCTCATCCTCAGATGCTCAAAGTTGTTTTTTTGTTTGTTTGTTTCTAAATGAACTATCCTATTTCAGTACTTCAGCAAGAGAGAACCTAACTGTATCTTGAGGCGGTAGTAAAACAGAGGGCCAGTAACGGGTCGTAATGACTTATTATGGATAACAAAGATATCTTTTCTTTAGAGAACTGAAAAGAGAGCAGAGAATATAACATGAAATGATAGATTTGACCTCCTCCCTGTTATTTTCAAGTAGCTGGGATTTTAAACTAGATGACCTCATTAACCGATGCTTTACCAAACAGCAAACCAAGAGATTGCTAATTGCTGTTGAAAGCAAAAATGCTAATATTAAAAGTCACAATGTTCTTTATATACAATAATGGAAAAAAAAAAAAAAGAGGAAAACCCTCAAGGGCATGAGCATTGGATACAGCAGTAGACATTTTAACAAGAAGATGAATGGCGTCCGTGGGTTGCTAACTGAACTTTGAAGACCCGCTACAAAACGCGCAGATGTGCAGCAGATTGGAAGGAGACACAGATGTTCAGTTTTTTCCTGTTTCTAAAAAGAAATAATAATATCCAGGTCAACAGAATGAAAAATAAAAGATGATTTGCAGTGGGATGTATGAATACAGCAGCAAGAAAAAAAATGCCATAAAACAAAAGGCTCCTTTTATATATATTATATATATATATATATCACACGCACACACGCACACACACACACACACACACACATGCACGCACACACACACACAGAAGTAAGAAACTCAGCCTGCAGTTAATTAGCATCTGGCAGCTTTGACATCAGCCAGCTGCCCTAAATAACCCTTCAACGTTTCTTCACTTTTGCAAGGTTCCACAGAGTAAGACATTGGGTCTATTCCAGCTCATTCATTTTATACTGAAAAATAATTTTAAAAAAATGGTGGCTCCAGCTCCAGCCCCTTTCCAAAATTTTTCAACCCCACCCTTGGATTTTTAATTAAAAACTAGTAGTTCTCTTGGTGTTAAAACACTTCTGTCCTGTGAGGTTTCCCAATGGTGTTTTTCTTGTAAATGTGTTGGACAAATGTGAAGATGCATTGTAGTTTAACCATATGCCCACATTTAGTCTCTTTATTCCTAGTTGGTGAGAAACCTGTATCTTTCTATGCTGCTTTTATATCTGTATGTATT